ATAGCCTCTGATGAGCTCAGCACAGGATGAGGAGCAGGCAGCAGAAGGCAGAGCAACAGGCAAGAAGACATTTCTCCTGAAACAGCAAGCAGGGAGAGCCCTGCATCCTGCTGATCCTGAAGGATTACCAGCAAAGTGGGAAAACAGGGTTATTAGGTCCGCTCCTTTTGTAGACTGCTCCCCTCGCTCAGATCCACATGGGTTTCTCTTTCCTTTCCACTCTATTTACATTCAGTTCCAGTTTTTAAGTCCTCTTCACTAAAGCATGAACCTGAATCCCACCCCCAATGGGAAAAAAAAAAAAACCCAATTAAATTTTTATCCTACCTTTTTGTGTATTGCTTTAAGTCTTCACCTACCTGATTTGTAAGGCTGCTGCATGGAGAGAAGACACAGCTTTGTCTGCAGTATTGCTCACACACAGAACTCCTGATAACAGCATTTTTTTTGTTGACAAGCATAGGGTAAAGCACATGGTTCAAGCAGGAGGAGACAACAGTTAGCAAAACCAGAGCCGGCGCCAAAGGGATGGAAACTAACACAAAGGACAGGAATATCAGCCTTAAATTTTGGATGCTGTGCTGTTTTCCTCCCTCCGCCAACCCAGACCTAAACTTTGCAGTGGTATTTTGGGGCATCTTGTAGCCCTAGCAAATTGGAAATCAGGCAAGCGTTGCAATCAATAGGATGGTCTAAGCAGCCTCAGCGTGACCATAAGCATTAGTCTGAATACCCTTGTCTGCTTACTCTTAAGCTTGTTAAAATCTTCTCCAATATTTTCAGCAAGGGAGATATTTTTGCAGCAGCGAGAGTGGGGGAGAGCAAGCATAAACTGGGCATGAGCAAGTTCGAATGGGCAGTTTGTAACTGGAGAGCATGCAATAGCCACAAAACTTTCCTTCTGCAGAAATCATCATCAGCTCAATAATTGTGTTACCACGTCAATCCTTGGTTTGGGTTTTACAGGTAAATACCATTCAACCAAAACTGTATCGGGCCAGCTTTGGAGTACTGCAAACATCTCTGTATTTTATGTTGATCTTGTTGCGTACGTAACGGAAAACATAAAATTTCATGGCCTTGTCAATCAGGACTCCCTCCCGTGGTTCAGTCCACATTTTTGGTCAAAAGCCATATGGTGCTTATTGCCTGGAGGCTGAGTTGTAAACCTCCTTGTCATGTTGCTCCTTTAACCAAGATGGTGTTGAATTACCATGAAACAACTTGGTTTGATTTGTGGTGCTGTCAGCAAGTATGAGCTTGGAGAAAATTTCAAGGGGAATTTAAAAAAAAAAAAAAACAAAAAAAAACACCAAACCCCCAAAAAAACCAAAAACCTGTATACTTTTTCCCCTAAAAAAAAAATAAATAAGGGTACATTTAACAACAGCCTGGTCGGGTGGGGAAGAGCTCATCTCAGTTGTATTTTGCAGCACTACTTCATTAAACACTTTTTCCAACCCATTAATCTTCTTCAGCCCTTATATTGCAGGGACTTAAAGACAGACACTGATTTTCCCTTACTCTCAGGGTGGTTTCAGGAAAGGATACGTCTTATTCGTGATGGGGTAAAGGTTGATTTTAAATGCCTGGGTACTGGGCAGTTTTATTTATTTGTTTGTGGAACAGACTCTGCACATCCTGATCTCGCTTGGGCTCTCCAGGGGATACTCTAGTCCCCAGGAGTAATCCCAAATAGCTCTTCTAAATACAACCCCAGCTCTGGCTAAGCATTAAAGACAAGGGAAGCATTCATTCTGGGAAGGTTTTATTTCACAAATAATTCAGAAATCAAAAGAAAATGGAGGGGGGAAAGAAGATATTTTACAATTCTGTTATTAGAAAAAAATTATAGTTTATAAACAAACACACGGCCCCTTGAAAAACATGCAAAGGCACACAAAAATTTACAAGAAACTTTTATACATAGGAAGTAAAATACATCATTTTTCATAGAAAAAAAGCAACTCTATGAACTGGCCCTAAATATTTAGACTGCACAACCGACCAACTGGAGACTCCTCAATCAGCTGTTGGCTGAACATCTTAAAATGAAGAAATTAATGGAGCCAATGGACCCGACAGCACACCGGCAGCTGGGGAAGCGCCGCGCTTTGGCTTTCACGCTGGTTGTGTTTTCTGGACATTTGGCTATGCAGAGCTGAGATGTCCTGCAATGACAGCGTCTGCACTGGCAGTCCTGGTTTCAAAAAATAAATTTGTTGGAAATGAACAACCAGGCAGCATCCGCTTTGCCAGGGGTTTTAACCAGACGCTTCGGTAAGGCTACACGCGAGTGCTTCAAGTTGGTACGTGCTTACTAATCTGCTGAGCTGGGGTCTAAGGAGGAACGGATCTGGTGGTATAAAGACATGCTGCATCTTTAAGCTGCATTGAAATATATTAGGCTGAGAAATGTTTTGGTATCGGAAATAAAATCAGTAAATATGTGGCTAAAACCTGGTACTGTCCCACCTTTATATGAATAGCTAGCACACATGATTGCAAGTAATTGATATATCATGACTGCCTTGGAGGACCTGATCGCTCCTAATTCTGGTGGAGGTATGTTTAAATTAATAGCACCCAGGACCTCGAATAATATTTGTGTAGTAAAGTCACAATTTCTCTTTTGTACAACAAATACAAAAATAAACAGATACAGACTTAAATTAACATCGGTTTCTAAAAATCCAAACCAGTTGGCTGAAGATAAAAATACGCAATTGTAACTTGAATTAAGCATTTTAGGATATTTCTGTTGGAATAATAATTCTTCCCTCGCCCCCTTTCTGTCAGGTAGATACATCCCAAGCTGTTTGGATTTTTATGTGCTCACAATAGTCCCCTGGACTTTTCCCCAAGAGCCCTCACAGTTCTTTCCATCATTTTACAGCATACGTAATTGTCACAGACAGCATATTAGAGGTGGGATCCCATGTTAGCATTGAGGCATTTTATGTGCTCTTGCAGTCCCCATGAAGAATACCTGATCGCATCTCTTTCTTACTCTTTCCGACTCAAGAAATAGCACTGTGGCTACCATTTGGCCCATGATGGTCATAGATTCATGCTGCAGTATTTAATGGGCTTGAACCAGACCATGTATAGCGTAATTATTCACAGTGGGCAGAAACAGGGAAGCCTTATCTCGCTGCCAAGACGCTTCCAACCAGCAGATTTTCAAAGAGATGTTCCAGCTGTTTTTAACATCAATTTACCTAGTAAGAAAAATAGTTCAGCTTTCCTATCTAGAGCAAATTCTGTACACCTTGGAAGACGATACTCTATAAACGAAGACGACACAGAGTCATTTCTCTCTATCCACCCCAAAGGTAGGTTTGCTGTGCAGCACTTTTAGAGACGATGCAAAGCAGCTCCAATTTCATACTTTACAAAAGGTCTCTTTCCAAATTCAGATTTCACAGAGAAAGAAGCCCCAACGTTGAGACAAACTGAGTAATAAATGTAATTTCCTTGCTGATTTCATGGTGTTTACAGAATTAAAGTAGTGATTAACCAGATCAACATTTTTGGTCTGTGTTTTGAAACAGCTTGAAGAGATGGCTTTTATATCTGTCTAGATTAAACCAAACAGAGCCTGAGTGTAAGAACAGCTAGGAGACGTCTGCCAAATAGAGGGAAATATTTTCCCATTTGTTATACAACATTAAAATCAAGTTATTGAGCAGAAGGTCTATGCATTTACAAGAACTGAAGAACTAAAGTTTACGTTGCCTTCTTATGACTAATGACGTTACTGGATGTGTGTGCATCAAAAGACAACCAGATTTGTGTTTCGACCAATTCTAAAAATTCATTTCCAATATAGAGCTGAGAACACTCTCTTGCCTTACAAGAGCAGGTCATGCTAGGCTCTTCTCTTGGCTTTGAAATGCATTTGGGTACATGCCGAGACATAAATAACAAAATACGAAATAACATCATTACAACACCTATGGGTTTTGCAAAACATACCATCCCGGATATCAAATGCTCATGGGTACAGCATTTACACTGAAAGTGGGGATCTGTTGGTTTCACAAATTGAACAGGAAAAATTCATCTACCCCAATTTACGCCGTATCTTTCACGTCCCAGAACTGTACACACCACAAAGAGCTTCACAAAGGTGAACATGCTTCCTATGTATGCAACCATTCCTAGCAGAAATAAGATTAACTTTATCACTACTTAACTACTACAGATAAAACAACCAGCACTGCTGTATAAAACAATACACTGCATTTAACTGAAATTTTATTTGAAATGGCGTGTAGTATAGGATGAGATGTGCCAGCACAGGAGCCCCGATTCACTGACTTCTCATAGGTTGCCAGACTTGCAAAACACCTGTGAATGTTTGACCAGCAAACACTAAACCTGCTGTTTTGATTCTCTGGTGGCCTCATTTTCTGCAGCGAGGATCTCTGCCTCTATTTCACACCCTACTCCAGTCCCCAAAAACCTTGATGTCCAGCCGACAAGAACGTCCTCTCCCCAAACGTGACACCATCGTACAACGTAGCCTAGCGCGATGCCCCAGCAGCCTTACGCAGCGGTGCTGATGCATGCCACCTCGTTGGGAAAAGATCAGATTTTCTCTTCTTTTGCACAGAAAACATCAAACATACACAAAACCACTCTACCAAAGCCCAGCCTCTCCCCAAAAGATGCAACTTTTAAAACAGTTTCTCGTTTTAAAAGGGTCCAGCGCCTGGACAGTCGCTCACTTCTGAGTCTGCTCGGCAGTGCACGTCCTCATGCCCATCACGGTAGATGCTTCACACCCTAAAAATGCCATCCAGGGCCAGGCCGAGATCCCTACGTCTGCTGTACATTGAGCCACCGCCGTTCTGTGTAGCACACCTCTTGTAAATTGGAAGTTAGAACAGTTTATCATTGCTGAATGCCCCTAGAGAAACAAAAACACGAAACGAAAAGATACAACGCTGAACGGGTGCGATGAGATGCGAACAGCTGAGTCAGAACCTGGTGTCTTTTTTTTTTTTTTTCCTTTTCTTTTTTAATTCCCTGAAAGAGATCGGCAAGGAGGGTACGGTCAGAGCTGATACCATCAGAGGAGCCTTCCTGTCTCTGGAGATCAACAGAGCGTTCTCCCAAAGAAACCTGCACCTTCCCTGGGAATTTACTGCTTCACAGCAAAAATTCGGAAAGCGTTTCCATCTGAAGGATTCTTCAAGCTGGAGAAAAAAAAGAAAAAAAAAAACAAAAACACATGTAATGAACCAAATGCAGGCACTGCAGGACCCAAAGTGCGATAGACCTACAGGCAACTTCAAATTTCTTTGGGGTGCACTGCTTCAGCACGCTGGCTCTGTGCTCCTGTGGCCCTACCAGGAGCAGGAAAAAGATAAAGGATGAAAAAAGAGGAACAAATCCACAAGTTCGCCCTTGTTTTACGTTTTCAATCCAAATCTACAGTGCTAGTGCCAACAAAAGGAGCTGGGGGAAAAAAAAGCCTCTCTTACAGTGCTAGCTTTTATCCAAGGAACACTGTGCTCCCTTATGCAGAGATTCAGGCATAAAGAGAAACATGTTTTCCTAAAAAACAGTTGTCAAATAGCCTGGCAGATTCCCAGGGCCTGTCTGGCCCATCTCCTGGTGCTGGCAATGGGAGTAGCCAGATCAGCTCACGTTAAATGACAATAAATATGGATACTTGTTTTCAAACTGCAGAGGTGTCCCCAACAGCTCTGACTCTGAGCTGCTGGGGGTGGCTGTGTGCATGGGGGCAAGGGGTTGTTTCTATTCCCAGCCCTTGTTTCTTCAGCCCTGTGGGGCTGTAAAACCCCAGGAAAAGGGCAAAATTTCATATTCCCGCAAAAAAACAAACATTCCAACAAGGGTAAATCTTAAAGGCAACCTTTTCCCATGCCTGTTTGGGTATGTATCTTTACCAAAGGTTATTTCCAGTGTCCTAAAGGATAAGGTTTTCACCTTGATCTTTGAAAAGCTATTTCACTCTCCGGTGGATCTCACAGCAAGAAGGTGCTCCTTATTGCTGAGTGTAAATAACACTTTCTAAATCTTCATGCTCATCCTTGCTGCGAGAACGTCTTTGGTTTCCCTCACCTCCTAGATCAGCACTGGGTGCTCATATTGCATGTCACTGCTAGCAGTAGAGTTTATTCTTAGCTAGGGCAGAGTTTGCCATCCAAGTAAAACGTTGTCTGTTAGTATAAAAGGTAAGTGAAAGCAAGACAGAGATAGAAGAAAACTCATACCAACAGGAGGTTTTGTCACCTAAATCCAATCTATGTAATTGCAAATCACAGAACTGCAAAATGCTGACCTTGACAGATCTATAAAGAAGCCCATATTTAATGCCTATATCTTTCCTGTCTTAGTGTATTTTTATTTTCTGAGATGCTGTACAGCATGCTGGGATTTCCGTTATTAGAATAAAGACAGCAAACTTGTTTGGATTTCTTATGGTGTATTATAGAAGAGAAACTACATAGAGCAGGCAGACCCATGTTAGTAGTGACCAACCCCCCCCAGTAGTGGGAAATTCTACGTTTGCAAAGATAGCTCTGAGAAATCAGTACCATCACACCAATATCTGAAAAAATGCATCACAGACTGAAACAGAAGTTTCAAATTAGAAAGGACTGAATGAGTGCTGACTTGATCATTGCAATCATCTGGAGGTGCAGGATTTTGGAAGCACTGATTTGCAATTCTTCACTGAAAACAGCAAGGTTGGCCCAAAAGTAACTACAAAAATATATGGACTCCTACTGTAATAAAATATAACAAGGCTTAACAACGTTTCACACCAATCTAAAAGCAGCTCCTCGCTCGTGGAAGGTAAGAGCAGGACAACACGCTCTATTTGTTTGGGTCTCAAAATTCACAGTGACACTGTTAAGTCCCATATTTCCAATCCACCAGCCTTTGTAGCTGATGTCTGCTGACCTTGACATACAACTGAACACACAGTCAAGAATAAGAGAAAAGCACAAAGAAAAAAATCCCACCTCTCAGACTGGACTCCGTTCTTTAAGGAGCCAACATAACTTTTCTTCTTTTCTACAGGCATCACGTCCACAAAACCACCTCTTTCATCTTGAATGACTCCTGCGTGCACCGCGGTTTTGCAGATACTGGAGCTCTGAAAAACATTTGATTATTTTGGCTTACAAACTGTCTATATTTTATATCGGGAGATTTACCGTCTCCATAAGCACCAAGGAAAAACAGGGAATTAAAAAAACCAAATAAATAAATAGAAAGAGTGAAAAAAGCTGTGAAACAATTCTGTCCCTCTTATGGACAGTGTAGGGATAAAAGATGTCATGGACCAGATCTTGCAGGTATGTCAGAAGAAGATCCACCACCACCGCAGAGGACCAGCAGCCTTCCCACCACTCCCGCCTGTGGTGGATCTGTGCCTGGGAGATTATCCAGACCCAAAACTGAATTGAGGACAACTTTCCAGCCAGCGACTCTTGGGTCTGCACCAGAAAAACCGCTGCGGTGAAACTCTTTGCTAGTGACCAGCCACCTCAGCAAAGTTTATTCACCCGGTTGCCTGAAAAGCAGACGCTTTTCCTGAATTAAGGTAAATGACCACCAATTATCCAGGACAGTTCACAACCTTCTTTCTAGGAAAAACAGAAGGGCTGCACCCATTGAGTGGTGTAGTTTTTGGACAGGCATTACCCCATAAGACAACAACAGGTATGGAAGGAGATTAACACTTCTGAAAAGACTAAAGCTTCTCTATTGCACATCACGCCGTTCCCTGCTCTCCAAGATGTGCAGAGTCAGACGAGCTGGAGGAACATGAAACACTAGCAACTGATGACTAAGCTCCCAAAGCATCCAGAGAAGAGAGCAAATGCAGAGAACACTTAGGCGTAGTATAAACTTGGCCATCGAGTCTCTAGAGGATTTACATACAGCAGGCTGGAATAAAAAAAAAAATAAAAAAAAAAAGCAAAAACCAGCTTTGCACAGGGAACAGCAGCAGGTGAAAATCCCAACCCCATAAACTCCCTGATCGCTAAAAACCAAAGTACCACAAAACCAGTGCCAAGGGCAAATGTTCCCGTAGCGTACGTACAATAGGGATCGTGCTGTTTCATTCTCGCAGCCATATATGGCAGGTTTGCCTTGTCCCCTATATATTTATCACTTTGGATGGCCTATCTCTTGGCAGCTCTCTGAGTTTTGAGTGCCAATTTGGTATTTTGCTTCTATATATGGTCAAGGGAGCAAGAGAAAGCTGCATTTGGAAGATATGCTGTGAATTCACCCTAGTATGCAGTGGGAAATCTGTAAATCTAAAATTGGCTCATAAAATCAAACTGTCCTGAATCAATTTGCAACACTCTCCACTGGGAGACATCCTAAACAATGTTCTTTTCAAGGCATTCCTGTTTTTTTTTCCGGGACTTGCTGTTCCGCCTCTGACTCAAAGCTTTGACCAGCAGGCTTTTTGTTGCCTTACCCAAACCTCCTTTTATCACTCTGTTGGATTACAGCCCTCTTATCTCCCAGGCCAGGCATCACTTTGATGAACTGACTGCAGAGCTTTTGGAAGATGAGAATAAGGGCCTTCCCCTCAAATTCAGAAGTAGGACAGCTGTACGGACAACGCAAGGGCTTTCCATGGCGTAGCCCCCGGGGATGCTCTGAGAGCATTTCCTGACGAAGTGGACTCTGAGCCACACACCATAAAATGACAATACTTTTAGAGTGGGCTATTAGCAATAGTTTGTGACTATGAGCTTAATGACCCATAATTTCCTCATTAGTGTGACTGGTTTAATCATTAAGTTCATATCTCCTGAGAGCTGAGCCACCCAACTTGCTTTGCTCTGGTGATAAATGCCTGCCTCGTTATGTAGGTGATCTATCCTTCAACTAATTGCCGCACAACTGAGGATAAAAGATCTTATCTCAAGAGCAGAGAGTCATTTTCTCTCCCAACTCGACAGGACTCCTGAGCGGGGATGGGGACAGGTTTCCCCTGCAGTCTTATGTCACACTAGGAGCCAGGCAGAGTGACAAATGACTGTCTCATGAAACTTAAAAGCTCTTCTACAGCCTTGATAAAATATCCCTGGGTGTTCACACAGCTCCAGCATCACCCCAGAACTGGTCCTGTCCACATTAGCAAGAGCTGAGTTTTATTTCCTAGGCACAACCATGTGCTCATAGAATTTTTTTTATTCTCCTCCCCCATTTACATGGCAATGTAAAGAACTTTGCTGCAATGTGCCACCAGGGAAAAGAGGCAACAAATTTTCTGTTCCCCAGCCAGCTGCTTCTCGCTACCAGTTTCAGCACTGGGATGATGCTGGATATGTTCCCCCCCGTGCCCTCCCTGTCACACTTCGATCTGCAAACCCTGCATGCAGGCAGCAAGTCTATTCTCACCAAAGAGTAATGTCATTCAGTGGAAAGACCTGGGATTCGGGCATCAACTTTTCCCATAGTGTATTTTCTCGCATTTTGTTCATTTATCCCAAAATTTTAGGCTCCTCTATGTCCCTGTTCCACAGCCTTACTAATTTCACCACGAACAATTTCCTGCACTGCTTTTTAAAGCAAAGGCTGCCAATATCTCTTTACGCTTTAAGCCACCAGGAGTACCCAGGAGATAATCTTATAAACACATAATCCAAGATAATTTTATAATGATGAGTTAAAAAAAAAAGATCAGAAAGCATTTAAAGCGGGTAAAAATCCCTTAATGCAAACAGAGATAGTGGCTCCTATGCCCCCTGAATAAAAATCAGCATTATCCCACAAAACCTGCCAGTTCTTCATGTCACAGCTTTGTTCTGCGTGGCAAAACAAACTTTCACGTGCCTTCCTGGGATCATGTAAATGTGAATGCTATCTCAGGACAGAAGCACAGTCAATCAGGTCATAACACAGACTAGCCAAGAATTTTTGTCATCACAGCTTGGACTACCAACTCCTTACCTGCCAGAGCATTTAGCAAATGGATGTTTTGGAGAGGGTGCTAAAAGGCTAGAGGGCACCTTGCAGGGAGTGCAGACTGGAAATGGGGCAAAAGGCTTCATTTTCTTTTAGGTAACTTATTTAAAAAGACACAGTTGGAGCACAAGTCCCCCCAGGGCCATGATGGTGCCACTCTAGACACGAAGCCAAAGAGCCCTCCCAGAAGACTAGCACTTCTCATCCAGCTTATTGCCTGCTTTAATTATTCCTCGGCCGCAGGCTCAAGTTAATTCACAGCATCCCCTCCTGGAGAGCATCCTGCAGAGCCCATGCTCCCTTGGAAAAGCCTTTGCCCAAATTCTCCCTGCACGGCACGCGTGTTTCTCTTGTCAGCTTTCCAGCCTGAACGTTTCTCTGCACCAATACCTCTCCCTTTGCAGCACGTTTCACAGCCGCCTCAAACTCTTTTTTTTTTCCCAGCTGGTTTCACCTCTTTTGCTACCAACCTTGCACTCTTGTAAAAACCTAAATATTTTCCTTATTACACCCACATCACCCTTATTAGTACAGTAGTCCAGAAAAAATGTTAACCAAACCCTCTAGGAAGTGGCCAAATACTTTTTTTTTTTTCCTATTTTATTTTTCTCCCAAATCACAGTCCATGCTGCCATTTATGAAACAATACCCAGGGGGTACGGTAGGAAATGGAGCTTGCGATTCATTAAAGGACACTAATCCTTTTGCGTCAGTACAAATCAGGAAACAACGCCAGCCCGGGATGCTGGTCCTCGCCTAATACCCTTGTAATCGCAGGCCCCATTTGGGGGTAATCTGAGGTAGTTTTGTCCTCATAAAAGAGAAAAAACTATTTCCCATTTTCTGCAGGTCAGAGCATGCACAGAGGCAGGTACCGTTGGGTGGCAGCTGCCCCATAAATTTGCATGGGAGCTAGTCTAGGCTAACCTGTTTGTGCAGCTCTACCTTTAAAAAAAATCGGTTTCAACAGGTTTTTCTTTTAAATTGCTTTCAAAATTTCTTGCCCAAAATTATTGTATGATTTCTACAGGATGTTTTTTCTCAGGAGTCTGCAAAGCTCCACACTGATCCCAATCTGGGGGTCCACAATCTGCCGACTGCTTCCCCCAGGCCTTCAGAAAGCACGTTCCTACACACCAGCCAGGGAGCTGGCATTTCTAAACACAATCTCCAATGAAGGAAAAAAAAAGAAGAAAAAAAAAAGGGAAAAAAAAAAAGAGGCACCCACAAACAGAAAAACATTGAAATCCAGGTTTTTAGAGGCCTAATATTAAAAGATTTCAAAAAAATGACTCTCTGCCTAGTTTTAGCATCAAATCTCTGTTCATCCCCATGAGCAGAGTTTAGAAAAACAAACCAATAAAACCAACTCGCGTGCTTTCTTTCCACTGCTCTGCGCTGTGTCGCGACTGCTCAAAAACGCTCTTCAGCTCCCAGAAAGAGGAGGACAGGGGAGGGGGAAGAAGGCCTATTTTTGCCAACTATATAGCATGACCATATATAATAAAAAGCCTTTTGATGCTCATCTCTAGATCCCAAAACACTTTGCAAAGGCAGGCAAGCGCTACCGTCATTTCAGAGCCAGAGCCCCAAAGGCACAGAGCGGTTAAGTGACCTGCCCAAGTCCATAAGAATAAGTCGATGTCGGAGAGCGGAAGGGTTCCCCAACCCGGTGTCATAGCTGTTGGTGCTACTTCTTCCTCCAACCTCATTTTACCCCATCCCCAAATTGCAACAACGACGGAGATTTTTGACTGCCTTCCCTAAATCGCAGAGTACGACCCCGGCTCTGCGATACGGACGTTGCGATATACAGGGTCATCAAGGAAAGGAGCATACTCACATCTGCATAAACGTTTGTGCCAAACACCGGCGCCCAGTACGATGGCTCATCTTTACAGTGGGCTGGACAATAAATCCTAGAAAACAATTTATTCATATTTATTCTCTATATCAAGGCTCAAGAGGAAAGCAAGCTGCATTCTTGGGACATTTCAAGTGCCTGCATCTGGTCTGCAGGTGGCAACAGTGAATTTAATTATTTGTTCCCCTCAGATGACATTTGGTAGTTACTGCGGAACTGCAAATAGAAGCGTTTAGACCAGTAGAAGAGGGATTGGTCTTTTGTGACATTTTAACAAAGGGGAGTCCTTACGTTTTTGCACAACGTTGTGCACGTAATTATTTGCACGTGTTTGTGTTTGTGCCCCCCACCCCGCCACGACTTACACCTGCACAAAGCAGCCTTCTAGAACAAACTTCTTCCACGTTTTAAGGTGGAAAGGAAAACCACGTCCAAAAACCAGCAAGTGCAGGAGAATAAAGACAGAGCGCAAAGTCGCATGCTCTTACACGGGGGGGTGCTGAAACGGGATCACGTAGCCCGACTTATTGAAGCAGTCGGAAATCTTTCCTACGCGATGCCAAGCAAAGCACGGTGGCAGAGGGAAACACGCCATTCCCAGCCCTCTCCTCCAGTTCATCTGGTCAAATCAGCTCCGTTCCCGCTAGCCCTCAGATTTGGGGACCTCAGCATCCTCCCTGCCCAGAGCGGAGTGGGTTTAAGCTGAACTTAAGCGGGCTCGTGGCATGCAGTTACCTTGGGCAATGGGTCGCCGGTTTTTTGAACTGGCACAGCTCAGCTACTGTAGTATAGCAATCCAGCGTCTGTGCTGCGGAGATAAATAGGGAAAGGCAAATTACTAGACCTAATAGCTCAGGCGGCTGCAGAAAAAACACATCTGGTGAGTCCGCTGAGGGCAGCAGGAGGAAAGCTGCTCGCTCCTTTACCAGCACCATGCACCCAGGAGAGGGCTGAGCAGCTCTCCAGCAGAAATCCTGCTGCCACCCTACGATGCGGCCTTAAAAAGGTCACAGCTTTCAAAAGAGAAAAGCAGCTGATCCACAAGACGGTGCAGTTTTCCTACAGTTCCGGACGTGGAGTGTAAATAACCTGACACCGGTAGTTTTCCCTGAAAGTGGCTCAAGTGGATCTAACCTAAATGCTGATTATATGGAGGAGGAGGAGGAGGAATTATTCAAAGACATTCAGAGAGTGGGAATTGTTTAAAAAGTAGGACTCCACAGTATTTATTTATATGCTCATTGTAAATATGACAACTCACTGTTATAAACTAATTTCGTATGTATTATGTGTTTCATTATACTATTGCACTATAATATTAGGTACTATATTTTTTTTTTTATACAGTGTTCACTCTAGACTGAGGCTTTCAAACAAGGATGGCTCATCTTCCACCACTTTATTACCAGCAGCTTGTGACACTGCAGCTAACGTTTGGACCCAACCCTGATCCACAACCAGATGCTGCTGGAAACAGCCCGTTATTGCCTTTTTCTGTACCTCCCTCTTAGATCCCCACAGAAAAATGAGGTGGTTGATGGTGCAATTGCCCATAGCGGGTGACGGATCACCACTCTAGGGTTTAGTTGTGGTACCGAACCATTTGGCGTGACCACTTAAAATGAAAAAGAGTGCTGTAAGGAATGACGTTTTCAACTATCCCATAAAATTCTAGCAACAATGGTTTCTTCTCAACTTTTAAAACTTACTTGTGACTTTGGAAACCATGAATGCATTTGAAGGCTTACTTTTCCTGCAAAACAAGCAAATGAAAACATTTATTAAAAAAATAAGCAGACTAGAATTACTTGAATCACTATGCCTACATATGAGTAACAAAGACAACCGAACATCTGCATATACTTAAAGCAAATGCAAAAACTTTTTCATGAAGGTGGTACCTAAAAGACTCCACGCCGTTCCTGGTAGACTTCACAAAAGCCGGTGTCCTCCCCTTCCTCGTGATATCAACCAGTCCTCCTTTATTGTCCAGGATGCCGTAATGAATTGCAGCACGACATATGCTTGATGACTGACAAGAGTACAAATACAAATAGTATGTGAAACAAATCTCATTCACAGAGCAACGCTGACCAACCGCTGTGCAAAAAAAATGAAGAAGAAATGAAACCACCACCAAAGTGCCAAATGGAAAATAAGCTGACTACACTCCTTTGGAATCTGGTTGTTAAATCTTACTCTCCCAACACAGCCTTATTCTTCTATTATTATTATTATTATTATTTTAAGCACTGCCTGGTTGAATGGCAAGCTTTTTTTAAATAACAAAACCGTACATTTAGATACAATTTAGAAGAGCAGCAGCATCGGAAATTAACAACCAGTATGAAATATTTCCAGCTCTCGACAAAATATTCAAAGCCAAAATATTTCTGCTGAAACCACTTGGAGGAGGCAGCTGTCTGCAATCACAGAAGTTGCAGGGTAAATATGTATCATGGGCGATGCAGTCATGCACCAACAGTGAGAATGGGGAAAGCAAACATGCTTTTACACAAAACCCCTTTTATCTTCAAGCTTTCTTCACCCCAAAAGTAGTTTTGATGGGAAAACAGTGCCATGCTTTATAAATAAATTATCTTCCTAATTCAAGATCCAGCAAATCAGCCCAAAATATTATTGAGTTACAACATTTACCAGTGTTTTTCGTATAAAGTTTCTGTTCAGCATGACAGCTGCCCACACTAAAGAAGAGATCTTTGTACGAGCTGTCTGTTGATCCCCATCCCTCACTTTCCACAGGTTTCATTGCATATTAAGGGCATTCATGATAAAATCATGTCTGGAATCCCTTTGCCTCTCCAGACTGCTGCTTTTTTTCATCACTAAGGTGAGGAAAATACAGATAATCTTTCTTAGCACCCTTTTACAGCACCACAACTGGAGAATACAAAAAGCCAAATTACACTAGAATTGTTGGCATTTCCCATTTCTGTTATTACCGCTAACTCCCCACAAATTACATCTATGAGCTATTAAAAGGTACTTACACTCTCATAATAAAATGTTCCAAAGATCTTTCCCTTACTGTACAAGCAGCCAGCTGGGCACAAATACCTAGTAAAGATATATATCTTTGAGGGTGGCGAAAAAACAATTCAAGAAAAACAGACTTTGACTCTATTTCATTTAATAGTCATTCCATTCATTTCACGTAACTCTTCCATTTAAAAACAAGATTGCAAAATAGCTACTTTTTAAAACAGTTTCTCCACCCTCCTTAAAAGCCCAACCAATATTTAGATTCTGTGGATTTGGTTTTTCTCCAAGTGATAAACTGTCCTGTTCTTTGCAGAAACCTTAACCAGAAGTTCTTGACTGACTGGGAGGGAACAAGCCATGAATTATTGGTCTGGCTTGGACAGTGGTGGAATGCATGAAAAAGGCTCAAAAATTACTCTGCCAAAATTTATTAAATTACTTTGGACACTCAAAACTGTGGGTCATCATGGCTGAGTAAAATAAACTGAGTCACCTTATTGCTAGGCTTGGCTGAAGGCTTTGTATAAGAGAAATTAAGGCTTTTTTTTTTAAAAAAGACCTACCTAGATAGTCACAAAAAATACATAGTATAGCCTATGTTTGCGAGAACTGGACAATTTTTAGGCCACTTTTTCCCACAGCGCTCCAAGAGGTATCAATAAAACACTACCTGTTGCATGTTGAGCCTCTGCATTTGTCTCTCATCTTGGTTTCACAGGTAATGACTTGTGCTGAGGAGAAAAAAAAAGAAAATAAATTAATATTTTAAAAAGGAAAGAGATTGCCACAGCCTGCTCTTGAGCTACAGAGATGAGCAACCGCCATGCATCTTTCCTGGAGGTCTTTGGTGCAGGAAGATAAAATCTCATCACAGACCAACTCAGCCTGGAGCAGTTCGTGCCTCTTTAGCCCTTCACCTGAGACAGGTGTCTTTGGAAATATTAGCAAGGAAGAAACATCTGACAGCTGAAGGCTTTGATTTACAGCCTCAGGTCTGCAGCCAGAGCTCTCATTCTCCATTTAATTACAGACTCTCAAGATGCTGGTAGATAAACTTGAAAAGGATGCATTGGCTTGCCTCACCTTGTTTTTACAATAAGTCTCTTTTAATTAACAGCAATTAGAGAACAACTGAGGAAGTACTACCAGCTCCACAAATAACTTCAGAAATCTTCCCAAGGAAAAAAATAAAAAGGAAACAAACCAAAAAAACCAGAAAAGCTGCAAAAGAGATAACTGTTGAGCATGGAGTATTTTAAATGGGAAATAAATCCAATATTTCCTAAATTGATTACTGATCAGGGGACCTTCGGTCTTCATCGATACTCCCTTAAGATGGCTTAAAAGACCAAATAACTACCGCAGATTGACGTGCACGAGGCACGAGTGGCTTTTGAAAGGTTTGCTCCCTGCTTCTGGCAGGCTTCTGCTATAATTAACAGTGAATTTTCGCACAGGTTACCTCCTCCTCCACTCAAACATCCTCCCAGTTATTTTTTCCCCGAGCCTTCTCATCACTTTCCACACCTTTTCCCATAAAGGTACTCGAAAACTTATAGGAGCTGAAAAAGAAAGAGGCCATCTTACTCATGTAGGAGTCCGGGATGATTTTCTTGGGTTTGCTTTCCGGAGGATGGAACCGCACCGGCTTTTGCTCCGCCACCTGCGAAATCTCCACTTCGTTAGTCTCATCCGTCTCAGTGATGACGGGATCTTCGTAGCGGTAATCTTGTTAGAAGAGGGGATTAAAAATAATTACAACGTGTTCGCGTCGATGGGGAAGTCAGACGGGTTCAGAATTTGAGGGAGGCAATTTGGTTTGACGAGGATCTGGTTTTAAATAGTTGGAAACTCCAAAATGCCAGTGAAAAGCAGAGCGGGGCTATCGCCAGGGCAGGTGCAGCACCGGGAAGGGAGATCCCACTCCTCTCCTGCTTCTCTGCCCATGAAGTGGCATTCAGAGCATCTTACAATAAAAGTTTGAAACGAACCCCACTAATCAGCGATATAAAGTGCTGATATTTTGTCTTCTGTTTCCCATACAGCTCTTTCTCTCTGCAGGAAAACACAAATTTGCTAAAGGGCCCGTGCAAAGAGGTCCCTCGTATTTAGGAAGGCGGCTGAAACCTCTTCTCCTCCCACCTAGGTTTTGCTTTTCCAAACCACCCCACCAGCACGGCTTCAGCCAATCCTCCGGTAAAGCACGGGTTCTGTCCTGGCTTCAGCGGGTTTTATCCCTCATTTTACCTCTGCCGGAGAAACAAGCTGCCTGCTGTTGCAGCCGGGCAAAGGGATTTGGGAAACTGCGCCAGCAAAATTTATTCTGCTTTGGCCAGTCCTACCTGAAACCCTGTGCTGCTTTCGTCCTCGGTAACGAGGAGAGGAACGATGCAAACGAAGGGATGATGGATGGTGGCTCCGAGAAGGCTTTCTGCCTCTCGCCGTACCACCGGGACACCCCCTCTCCTCTCCCCACTGAAGCCCACCCGCACTCTGGGGTCCTCCCCCCGAACCCTAAATGGCTAAAAATGCGAAATGCAACGTCGCAGCAAAATAAACGTCTGCTTTGGGCAAGTCTCCAGGGAACCTGCCTGTTTCCGAGAGCCCAGCTCTTTGTGAAGCAAAACGCATGGGAGAAGAAAAAGGCCCTCAACGCGCCATCCCAGAAAATCCTGCGTGCTAGCGCTGCTTCACCGGAGGTTTCAGCGTTCATATTTTTCGTTCTATTGACCTCTATTCTGAGAAAACTCCACAGGTCAGGAGAAACCATCCAACGACCCCCTCCTCTTCTCCAAGAGGCACGAATCGCTGTATTCATTTCGCAGCCGTGAAAACCAAGGTGGGGAGAGAGGGAATCGCTCCGTCCCCGGCCCCCGAAGGAGCAGGGCAGGCAGCCAAGCTCTGCCCACCCACGTCGCCTCGGGTAAGCGCCGGAGAACATTCCCTTCCCAAACAAACCCCACGAGGACGGGATCGCTCCTGCCTGCAGCCTGCCAACAACTCAAAATCCCGCCGGAGCTCCCGAGCCAAACCCACGTTAAGCTCGGAGCAGTTTCTCCCTTCCCCGATCCGAGCGCTCGCTCTCGTTTTCAGCGGGGAAGAACGCGCCGAAACCGAGCTCCAGATTTTAAGCAGTTCAAGGGCTTTTCCGTTTCAGCAGCGGCCACCGATTTACCACGTGTCACGATGTCGAAATCGTAAGGATGGGTAATTGAAAGGCGCGTTAAAGCTGCGGCTGCTTCTAATTAAAAGTTTCCAGGCATAAGTTTGGGCCAGCCTTTTCCCTCCACCACGTACCTTTGTAGCAGAGGTTGTTCTGGCAGCCTCCTCCGTAGCTCGGCGGGCATTCGGAGCAGGGGCGGCCGGTTTTATATGGGGCTTCTCCGATCCAGTTACCCCTGCAAGCACAGGAGCAATTTACACCCATCAGACACCCAAATACCCATCCAAGACTGGCCCTAAGGGAGTGGGGAAACAGGGGGTTCTGCTGTGCTCATCCTTGGACAAGGGGCTGTAAATGGGGAAAAGATGGTCTGTCCCCAACTCTTTCCACCCTTGTGCTGCCTGTGGTTCTCCAGCAATCGCTCGGTGGCTGCCTGCCTCCTGCCTCCATCTGCCTGACACTTGCCTTCACCTCTCTCGGTCATCAGAGCCACAAGTTTCCCACTATTTTCCACAAACCCCCCAGGCAGCTGTATGGGACAGGCTGGAGCACAGCTCTTACCATTTAAAAGCTGCTCCGTTTTCCGTATGAAACCATTTCCAAACAGAAAAAACAGCAGAAATACACGGACCCTCACGCCAGGTCATCTGGGAAGCAGAGCGGCGCTTTGCGCTCTCTCCTTGCTCAACCTGGCCATCCTCGAGTCCCCAGGTTTGCCTCTGAAGCTGCAAAAAACGTTGTCCCAGCCCAGAGCAACTAAGCAAAGACTAAACAACCAGCCTAGGCAAACCTCGTAAGAAAAACGTTCCTCCTCATTTCACCTCCAAGATGACATTTTTAGGGTTTGACTTAAATAAATGTCATGCACTATCGCTTTTGCATTAAACTTCTGTATAAATACTGCAATCTTACGTAAACAGAAGCAGATCAATGGATTACTGCGTTTTCCACAAGAAACTACCCAGAAACAAAAGCCCTTTTTGGCACTCCATACTGCAAACTTTCAGGGCTCGAAGGAGCCGGAGTTCAGCCCGTGGCTACGAACCCTTGGGTTATTGCTCTTTCAGCTGTCTCCACCTATAAGGCTAGATGAGGACAATGCGCACTGATGCCAGAGAGAAAAGATTAAGCAGAAACTGCCGAAATAGAGTATTTTTCCATCCAGCAGCCCTGAATGGATGACGTGCACATAGCCCAGCCTGCTGTGGGAGCTCCATGGGCGATGGTGTGATCCCTTAACAAGAAGCAGGTTATTAAATCCCACCAAAGTGCGGCGTGCTCGGTACCTAACGTGGGGAGAGGGGCTTCGACAACCCACCCATAGAGCTCTGCCTGGATCATGCCGTCAGCTGCCAGCTCTATGCCCGCACACCTTTTTTTTTCTCTGCATTATTCTGCCCTATGATCTTCAGAAGTCAGATGCTCTCCAAGCCACTCTATTTGTATATAGTGATTTCCCTATTCCATTTTGGTTTTCAGTTTTAAATTGCCAAGGACTTGGAGTGGGAATGTTTATCCTATTAGCCATTAAAGCAGAAAATATTAATTGCCATTGCCAGGGAGGAAACTTCTCCTGGGTGTAGTAGTCGAGAAAGGTGATTTTCATTTTGAAAATTAATCAAACCATCGAGCTAGCTAAATCTTGACTGATGCAGTTATTTCACTTTTTTTTTTTTTTTTTAAGCCACGGGGAGCTCACCGGGTCTGAGACTTATCTCTCTGCGGCTCCTTGCAGCGGGCCCCAGCTCGCTTCGCTCCCACCACCGACTGCCGCGGGGCTGGCTTTGCACGAAGCAGCCGTGCGTTTCAACCAGCACATTTCCGAGGGGAACGGGACCGAAAAAAACGCCTGACGATACGGCAGCCTACCTGGCTGGCTACGACGGCTGCTGCTGGAGCAGCTCTGAGCAGCATTAATCACCACCCCATCTTCTCCTCCCCACCCTCCGAGCAGCAAAACGAGCGAGCGAGCCTCGCTCAGCTCACGCCAGCTCCGTCCTGGCCATCTCCTCCTCCTCCTTCCCATGGCAGGAACATCAAAGCTCTTGCCTGGCCCCGGCCCCTCATTCCGTTTTCCAGGCAACGCTCAGAAGTCTCGAACCGGCTCTGCGCTGCCGTCGAAAGAGAAAATTTAAAGCCACAACCACCAGTCTAGACTGAAATCTCTTCCCCAGATCCTGGGCTAGTTAAGCAAGCTGCCAGTTTCAGGAAAAGCTGGAGAGAGCCCAAGCTCATCTGCCTTACTTCGGCGAGTAGTTGCAGACCAGGTAGACGGCATTCTCCCAGATTTCGCCCCAGACGTTCATCTGCTTGCAGACGTTCACGGCACAGCCGATCTTGTTCGTCGTGGCCCAGACTATCTGCGAGCGCAACGCGGTTATTAAAAACGAGCAAACTAGCCCTCTGCGGGCACGCGTTGCGGTGCGGGACGAAGAGGGTAGAGGTACAAAAGCCCTTCGTCTCCTTTACCTGGGTGTAATGCGTGCACATCGAGCCGGTGCATTTTTCGGGGCACCACGGGTTGCACTCGTGGGGATACGGGTAGGTGTAATCTTTAACTTCGTCATACCAAGCCTGGACGTGGAAAGCTGGAGACCGATACCTGAAGGAACAAAGACAGTTTAAATCACAGAGTTCTGGTAGAAGTTTTCAAACAATACCCGTAGCCTCCTGCCGTGTTGGAAGCTCATATTTTTTCACTACAAGTTTTGCTAATTTTTAAATAAAAGTTTCTTAAGGCAAGTTCCATTCATTAAGAAGGTGTTGCTTAAAAGAACCCAGTAACATGGTCTAGCGAACAGAAAAAAAAAAATCTCATTGAAAGTGTTAAAGATGATTTTCTCCCTAAGATTCACAGCCCGGTCTGACTTTCTGTATTATTTATAGGTTTGACATGCCCTTCAAGTGCCGCTGACCTGAAATGTCCTCCTGACTTTTCCACACAACTACAAAAAACTTCTAGTTTGGCGGAAAGTTGTATTTTGAAAGTAAACAGAAGTTAAGGTTTGCCAAACATCTCAAACCGAAAGCCATCGTGTACCTATTTCACCACCAGGCAATTTGCTAAATCTGGAAGGACGCTAGCAGTTAATACTGTAAGACCTTTGAAAGCGAGTGGGCTTTTTCACACTCACATCACGCCCAGAGTTAGTGCAGAACAGTTGGTGCACTACACACGTACACATTTTTTTTTTTTGCAGGAATTTCCCTCTGCACCAAGCCCCCACGTATGCCGCGTGTACTTTGTGCAAGCCATGCACCAGATATTGCAGTCTGCGGCATTGCTGATGCTACTTGCACCATTTAGGAGAACACAAACGGTGTTAAAACTACCTATAGAAACTCATAGGCATTTTGCTTGCTACGTACACAGTGAGCAAACAGAGCAACCTGCAAATTTTGTATCAGAGCAGCACTTCAAACCCACTGCTTTTTATTGCTTTCAACAGCTCACATGAAGCAGGCGGCCAGAAATATAAATGATATCATTACCAACTGGAGTTTGGTCTTTCAGCCAACTCTTCATTAAAAATCATTCATTAGAAGTATTTTAAAAACATTAATGTCATGATGTCATTAAGTGAATACTTTCCGAATCCTATTTTACAGGAGAGGAAATTGAGGCAATCAAGTTATGGCCCGTTCCTGAAAAAACTGAGATAAATCTGATTTCTTTTTCCTCTCGGTGACTGCAAAGGGAGCAAGATTGGATCCACCTCCATCAGTAAGCCATGGCCATCTTGAACGCTTGTAGGAGAGCCAAGAACAGCACGATCTTTTGACTTTGTTTCCAATGGATTAACCACTCTACTTTCCAATCGTTATTTAATTCTGCCAATAAAAATGGGCCCGATTTTTATATCGGGCTAATTTCACACTAGCAAATTTCCATTGCTTTCAACCAAGCTCTACCCGATTTACACAAACATAACTGCACTTCCACCCATTAGGGCTCCTGAGCACGTACAAAATGTTTGCTGTACAAAGCAGGTTTAACCTATAACAGGCTTAATGATAGAGGCTTAACAATAAACAAATTTCACCATGAGATGGAGAGGCAAATCCAGTTAGAAGCCCTTCCTAACTGGGACAACAACAACTCTAGGTTAAAAACTTCCCCAGGAAGTTGAAAAAAAAAAAATAAATCTGCATTTCCAGTAAAGTGAAATAGGATCTGGATAAATATTTATGGGAAATACAGCAAGAGATAATTAAGTTCTGAACTAGCAGCGGAGTCCAGACATTGTTCCTGAGAAACTTGAGCTTTCAGCCGGTTCTCAGCATGGTGTCAGAACCCCCCCTGAAACAGCAGATTTAGGAGCAGGGCTTAGAACTTCTGTAGCTGTTCTCTTTAAGGAGTAAGAGTGATCTTAAGCACATTACAGCTGCGTTACCCAGAGATACAGATAAATGGAGTAACCCACATCAATGCTGGTTTGCTGGGAACAGTCAGCCGAAGGTGGCTGCAGATGTTATCGCTATAACCATTTCACCGAAGCAACAGCAATTAGTGATCCTCGGCTTTTCTCCCATCTCCCCAGCTCTCTACTAAGCATCAACAAGGCACACCTTTCCAACTGGTTCTAAAGGAGGCTCCATAAATTGCTTTTTGCAATGAGCTTGGAGCACCTCAACTCTTACCTGCCCCAGTGAACCGCCAAGTTCTGTCCAATTGACCTGATGAGGGCACTAGGTCCATGGTCCCAGATGCACTGCTGAGCCCAAGCGTGGGCTGATCTTTCCAGCTCGTCATCCCAGGTCTTCAGGTTGCGGGGAAAGAAAAGAACAGGTCCATTCATCATCTCAAGCTTATTAGATCAAGAGACTCAACCAACAGCAGTTAGTGGGGAAAGACTAAAGGACAGCTCACCCCTGGCGTCTGGCCTGTCTTTGTGAAGCCAGCATGTCTCAGTGATGTGCCCTAACCTAAAAGCAAGTTTGTCAGGACGTCCCCTGCCATGGAAATGCAGGGCACTAAAGGGTCTATTATTTTTCCTGCTTGATGCCATGCTTCTTAGGAGATGCTTGGCATAGGTCAGCAGAAAACACACCTGGGAAGACCTTGAGAACCCCTCTAAGACTACCCACCCTAAACCACAAGATATTCTTCACAGATGTTTTTCTAATCTGTTAAAAAAAAAAAAACAAAACCCAAACCATCGAGGATGGAGATCCTAGCACTTCCTCATGACACCCATTTCCGAGATCTGCAAGAATTCTAACATGCATGAACTCTGATGTAGTTCAGCACGATTTTCCATCCACTGTCTTTACTATCAGGACATTTCCAGGCTTTCCCATGAAGGGGAACTCCAACAGTGGATGTGCTCCTGCCCTCCGCTACCGACACAGCTGGAGATTTTTGGCCTAACCTCTTAATCAAAGGGTGCGGGTCTGAGTCTCCCAGTCCCATCTCCCCTCCTCCTTCCAGAACAACTGCCGAGTCCACCGACGGACCCAGTCAAATTTAACAGAGGTGGCAAAGTCCCAGAGCTGTTAAGCTAATACCACTCTCACTGAAAGAGGCATCGCGTTAGAAGTGACAAATCCCATTTATGTTCCCACTGAGGGAAGGACATTGGTGTGACATCAGTCCTCATTGAATATCACCCAGCTGTAAGCCAAACGAGAGCTCAAACTCGATACAAAGGCAAATCGGAAAGCAAGCTTCACTGGCTCCACTGCCCAGGAGTGTATTTGTTTTAAAGGCCAGACTTGCCGGACCCAGTAGACAGTACCCTGAATTCATTGTGTAATTACTGACAGCTGGTCTATTCAGAACAGTCCTTAGAGGATAATTTGTTGGGATTAAAATATTACTGCACATTCCTACAAATAAAACCAAAGAGAAGAGAGGTCTTGTAATGTGTCTCCAGCCCACTCACGTGCCAGCGCAAGATTATGTCCTCTTTGGACATTTACCATCACAATCAGCTGGTCTTTCCAAGTCCTGTCATCTCCACGAGAAGAGGAACTTCTGATCTCAAACATATCAAAGGACCTGTCAGAGCCCGTTTGGAGGACTGGAGGGCATTTAGGCTCTCAAACACACTCAGAAAACAACAAGTGCTCATTCCGAGTAAGTATCTGAAGACAGTCTCGGGCAGTTATAACTGGGATGGGGAGGGACCGCATGTCCCTGGCTAAGACGACAGGAAAACGCAGTGTCTCCTGGAACTTGGTGTGTCTACACTATCTTTGTAAGGCAAACATGAGCTCATCTAACTGAGCTAACAGCCCAGACCTCTGAGAACAGCTTATCATTAAGCATGCTCAGCAACCCAAATTCCAACAACATCCCAGAGCTGCTCTGAGCTCATCAGCCTGGCTTTGAACTGACCGGTGGCCAAGAAAATTCATGTCAGTCTGCAAAACCCTGTGCAGACAAAGCTCTGACAGAGGGAATAAAACCATTTTCCGTCTCAGCCCTCCAACTCCTTGAAGGTGCATGGGATCTGACCCACCACACACACATTTCCAAACCTCTGTTCGAGCAGACTATTGCAATTGTGCCTAGACACACAGCTTTTTGTGGTCTCCCACTTTCTGCACTAGGCAATGACCAGCCACAATCCACCTTCCCGTCCAACACATAAGCCACAGAAACTCTCCCAAGACATTAGCGCTTCAGACTTTCTAGCAGAGCGTTATTCCCTGCAGCCTCAAACGCAGAGATGTTCCAAATCTCCTAATTTAATGCAGAGACGTTATGAGCAATAGGCCATTAAATGGAAATTGATGTGAACATATGCATTACATCTTCCTTTGATGCCTACGGATAAAATAAATTAACTCGGACAAAAGATACTCAACATGCAATTGGGAGCGAGCTACGTCTTTGCATGGCTTTGTGCTTGATGAGTAGAGAAGCTCATTTCTGCAGGCGTCAGATTACAAAGCCACCCCATTTAAATTAGAGCAGTTATTTGCCTCTTGCTTCTCAGACGTGAATGCGGTCAGGAGGCTGGAATTATTTCAGAGCAATAAACATATTAAAAAAAAAAAAAAAAGATTTCAGACTTTCCCAGCTACGCTTGCAAGAGTTCTTTATGCCAATATTCAAAGCAGTATCTAGGAAGACTACTGAAGCCAGAGGGGCAGTGTACGCCTATGCTCAAGCAGAGATAGAGAAACCTTCAGGAATGTGTGATTCCAAGTGATTTAGCACATGGACTCTCTTTTTTTGCTCCTGCAAATTTGTAATGGCCTTTCAAAGTACAGTATTCACCGTCTATATAAAATACATGCATGGCACACGCACACTATACGACAATTTGTAGGTTCAGATTTAATAAGAATATATCCCACAAGGAGTCTACTTACTCAGCCTAACTAGTCTGTAAATCTAACCCCAGACACCTGAATTGTAGTGATCGGGTTACTCGCACATTTTTCTCCCCGGCTTAGACTTTTTGCAATACTGGCAATTTGCTTTGAAAAGTGGCATGGGAGTCCAGGACTGACATGTGCTGGCAGAAGCTTGGATATGCTTTGCTAACCCACCCAGAAATACTATCCCATCCCGACAAGGAAAGTCACCACCCTACGGTTTAGAGGAAGGATGCATACCTTATACATGAAAACAAACTATTTTCCTTCCAGCAATCTGTACTGAGAACAATTTTGTTCTATCCAGCTGTCTTTGAGGCCTCCGCAAGAGGAAAGATTTCTGCCTTTCATCACTGCTGAAAGCCATCTGACTAAGCCATCTTAAAAGGTCACGATGTCTTAAGAACTATTATGTCCTTTTTACTCTGGGTTTATTAACAGGGAGTTTGTTTTGCTCTTGGAGCCCATCCACTGCCGTGACTGCTGTTATAAAGTCCAAACCCACAGTGGAAGTGTCAATCGTAAAGCTGTTCGAGGGGTTGAGGTAATTCTGTATTTGACCAGCTTCGTCAGGAAAATGCACGCTGCTCGCTCGTTTTCCATTAACGCTGAATACCTGTGCTAGCTTTCAATTAATTATGCAAACCCAGCAGCAAAACTGTTTCTTTCTTCATTTCTTCACTCTTATCCTGTATGTATATAATTCTTTTGATCTCCAGATAAGTCATGGGACTCACTGCATTATTGTTTTCTTATTAACAGCCTCCACCAACTAAAGTTCATCCTGTAGCAGGTAAATATGTCCCTTGCCTGGAATATATTAGCTCCCCTTGCCACTTTAGATTACTTAAACATGTCAGATATGGAGCTGGGAAAAAGGACTTTCGCAAGGCAGCGTTTGGAGGTCGATGGGCAAGAACAAGTTCTACCTACTTATCCACAAATCAGCACTGCACGTCGCCTGTGACACTCCACACCGGCACCAAAGGAAAAGAGAAAAGTTTATCTAGGGCACTAAAGACAGGCCATCCTCTTAAACGAGTCCAAATGAGAAATGTCCTATGCAGAACAAAGGATTAAAGTGAAGTTCACGTTCAGAATACACACAGCATTTCCAAGCAAGATTGGGTAAACACGAATACATGAAAGACTGATTATAGCCTTTCCAAGTAGCACCATCTTATACTCAGCTTCTTTCTTCACAGCATATAAGGCCCTTTCATTTACCCTCAATCGCCCATAAAAACCACTAGAAAAGCACACCGAGCAAAGGCAAATATAAAAGTGTAACCTTGCTGCAAGCATAAACAGCAGTCGGCCAGTGGACAGCCCGCAACGGCAGCCCTCTCAGATCCTCAAAGCCAACAAAAACACATTTGGCTTTCTCATGCTTTGTGTTTACTTTCTGGAAATTAATCAAGTCACCTCTTCTCTGGCAGTACCTTGCCTGCAGGATAACGCGAGAGCTCGCTGAGAAAGAGAGTTACAAAGCACCGGTCCTTAGAAAGGCGTGCGATTTCTGCCAAAAGTGGGATGAAAGACCAGGGGTGTGAACGCTCATGGGGACCAACTGATGGACAGTTGTCCTTCCTCACTGTCCTCCGCCCTCCCTTCTCTTTTCCTTTTCCCTGCAGTCACAAAAGGCAGGATTTTCCATTTGCAGCACTCATTTCAGCACAGCTGGCAAACAATTTTATATTATATTTAGTGTACTTTTCTTTTACCCTTTTAAACGTGGTCTTAACAAATCATTAATCATTTAAATCCGTCAGCAGGAGCACACAGTTCAAGTCAGACTAGTTTCAGTCATAACTATATTTGCACATTGGGAAAAGGCACACACACACAAAAATTATTTGCCTACATCATTTTCTGGCCCCGCAATATTTTGATGGCATGTCAAAAATAGCTCAAAGTAGGGTCTCTGGCATCAGGTGAAAAAAACCTATTCATCTGAATTGTTGATGGTAAAGGCATATTTCATACTTATACTTTTAAATTCTCCCTCTGAAGTGGAAGAATACATTGACCAAACTTTTATTTTGGTTTCTTGAACTACAAAAAGCCAGTAGCACTGACCCATCCACCCATGAACTCCCAAAGTCTTTCCAGCTATTTCCAGTGATTGAAATTCTTTGCAGATTAAGCAACATTCCTCAAACCCTGTTTCTCTAAGGTCCTGAGCAGATTCCCAGCAGCACCACAGATGCTTGGCTCGCATCAATAATCTCTGGTGATCAGCGTATGACAAAAGGGCAGACGCTACCTCCGGCGTTGGGTGGTAGCTGATGGCAACCCAAAGACCACCAGAAGTTTCTCTGAGCAGACTGCGGTGTCCCAAAACACCCATCACAACGGTCTGAAAGCTTTCACAGGGAGAACGTGGGTTAAACACTAGGGAAAATTTGATGCTTTTATGACATTAAGGTAATGGAAGAACCTGCTGAGGCAGGCTGTGGAATTACCATCACTGGAGATGCATCCAGGGCTGGGCCAGACGCTAGTTTATGAATAATGGAACCAGTCCTGAAACTATGCAGCGGATGGACTCGATGACCCATTAGTGGCCCTTTCCAACCAAAACAGTCCAATGATCTAACGCATCTTTCACTCTGGAATGAAACTGCTCCAGGAAACCTCTTGAGAAAAACTTACTTTAGAGGAAATTGGCTACACCTCTTCCACCATAAAGAAGATTAAAATAAAGTTAAAAAAAAAAAGCAATAATAAAGTTAGGTATCAGGAGCTAGACTCACCATGTATTCCATATTAGAGGCCGCTGGGTACACTTGACCTCTCAATTTATTGTGGAGCATCAATATCTCCTGTCTGTCCGAGAATAAAATGGCTCTCTTGGATCTGGAGTGAGTTTCCCCATCCTGGTATTTACTCAGAATGCTTTCCAGGTGACTCGAGTTGTGCAAGATAAAGCATTCGGCTGCCTTTGTCAGGAGCAGTACACATCCAAGAGGAAGGATCCAAGGCAGGGCAGGATTCATGCCTCCTCCTCTACAGCCAGCAGATGTGGAGACGAAGACGACGGTAGGTTTTCTCTCAGGGACTCCCGTGGCTCACTGTGGCTCTGGATTTTGGGGAGAAACAGGCAGTCAGAGCAGTGCCAGAAAAGCTCTCAGTGCATACGTCCCCCAGCGATGAAGCCACACAAGCCAGATTTTTTGCTCGGAAAAGAGCGGTGCCTACAGTCTCAGCAATTACCGTTCACCCCAATGACGGGAAGACCTGAACACCACCGTAAGTGACGGGAACTCAGTTTATTACACCAGGGAACTCCACCGACATCGCATTGGGAGCGAACATTACCCAGGCACGGCGGTGGATGCCTTCTCCACCAAAGATGCCAGGGGTGCAGGAGTCCCCCAGCAACGCCCAGCAGCTCTGAATAATCCCAGCTCCATCCCTTCACGGGCAGGGAGACATTTGAAGCTATTCGCCCAAAGAGCAGCTGTTAAAGTGAACAGATATGAATAAAAGGGAAAGTAAAATTCCCAGCAAGCCAGATCGCAGAGGTCAGACATCAGCAAGAGCTATTTCGGAGGCCCCCGCTCTGCCAATAGACTCCAGCAGAGCAGCTGCCAGACTCTGTGAAAGCGGCTGTTTATGTGAAATGTCACCGTAACGTCGAACAACCGAAATCCCTGCTGGCGAATGACGCACCGGGGTGTTCTTGCTGACGCATCGCTTTACGGCGGGCGGGAGCAGGGCCAGCGATATAAATTAGGATAGATTAGGAGAGGAGCCGGAGCACCCGACCTCCCCCGGTCAGAAGATTAGGTGTTCCCATGCACACTCGGTAGCTGTCAGCACCAAGGGCACGGAAAGATGGTCTTGATTTGGCCATCGCCGGGTTTGAACGGCTTCATTTAATCCCCATCCCCTCCCTTGCTCCATGGTGCTCCCATTCCACCTGCCATTTCCAACCTCCTCCTCCCTTCCTCTCCCCGCCGCCCCGACTTCTCCATCTAACGAGCCTTGTGCATCTTGGCTGGGTTTATTTAGATCATGAGCTATTTGGGGAAGGAAATACGTGCCGCTGCATGGCTCCGCAGCACCTAGTGCTCTTTAGGTGGGATCTCAGAGCCACAAGAGCAGAATCAATCCATTGGGGCAACAAGGATTCGTACAGAAGGTGCAAGCACAGCATCTCTCTCCTCAGGGCTAAATTTTGGAAGAAGGCTTCCCCATCCCCGTCTTCAACACTAGGTGAGGATCTGGTTTTGACAGCACTGTTACAAGACACGCTGAAAGCATTCCTACGCGGCATCAGAAAACAAACCCCAGATTAGCAGGAATTATTCGAGAAGTTTCAGCCCAGTGACACGGGATTTGGACACGCTGAGACTGGACGAGTTGGAAACCATCCAAGGCAGGGAAGTGCCTTCCAGCTCCCAGCTGGAAAAGCTACGTTTGAGCACAAAGTCCCAAACCCTCTGCTCCCCAGACCCAGCACAACAGTATCCGTGGAGGACGGTGGCAAGCACAAGGTGCTTTGCACAGGTGGGGACCCCCAAAAAACCTCGGAGGCCATTGAGAACCCCTGAAAACTTGTTGGCTGTCTAGGCAAAAGAGACAACGTCCCTGTTTGAGGCTTCTTGCTTGTACTGTGTTAAGGCAGATGAAAACCAGCTGCCCTCAGTCTCTCTCCAGGCAGAGCATTAAGCCTTTGCCTCTGTAGAACAATGCGGGAATGTAATTTGCTCAGGTTCGGTAATGGCTTCTCATTATTTCCTGCTCTGCAGAGCAAGTCAAACACACACGCCTTGTCCCCAGCTCCGGGCACACCTGAAAGACAGGACGTTCGGTGGCGTCGGGACAAATATCGCTTTAACCTCATCCTCTCCTCAGCCCTGTTTGTTGGCATTTGCTTCCCCCCAAGCAGGAGCCCAACTTTCTAACCCGGCTACAGAGGGGGGGTAGGGGAAGCAAAAACGAGCTGTTGCTTTTGTAGACTGTCTGACCCAAATTCAGGGAACAATTCCTACTTTGAGGCACTTCCCCAAGAGTTTAAAAATAGATGCTCTGCCACAGCCATTTACAATGCGGCCATTTAGCACAAGCAATTTTAACTGCAGCCTGCCCTGTAGGTAGAGCAGGCAGGAACAGACAGCTAATATATGCTGCCGTTGTACCCCTTCATTTGGCCGGGTGCCCTTTGCTAAATAGGAGCCCATATCCACCACCCATTTAAGGCAAACACTGAACTTACAGAAGGGGCAGCTTGAAAAAAATCAGCCGTAACATCTGAAAGCCCAGAAGAGCTGCCCCACTCACGGCTACGCAATGAAGCCAACGCGTCTGGTTTCGTGATCCAGCCAAAACTTTGCAACAGATGGTGCTTTATTCCTCGGGATGTTCTTCCCTGTATCCCATTTGCAAGCGAGGGGATACTAGTACCTCTCTAAAATTAGGTCGCTTTGGCACTATCTTCTTTCTCACTTGGGGCGTGCAGGTCCCTGCCTCTGCTTTGGCTCGAAATGGGGAGCGCTGAGCATCCAAAGGAAGGATGAAGCCATCAGAGAGGGATGGGGAGCAAAGAGCTCCCCGGCCAGATTAATTGAAAGCAGCAGGAAGATGCTCACGTTTCAGCAAGGTCTCATTGATTTCAGATGTCCATCCATTTGCCTGTCTTAATATCCTCGTGCCCAGGTGCAACGAAACACTCGGACGTGTGTTAAAACTCAGCCAGCCCAAGTGCCCTGCAGAGCCTCTGGGCTGCATCAGACACTCCTCGTCAGGGAAGATTGAATTTATATTGCCTTGCAGTTGGGATTTGACATTAGTCAGAAAAAATTATCACCTGACAGTCAGCTGAGGAAGTCTCTGCTGTTGTTTTCAAGGGTTCAAGAGGAGCATTAGCACAGCCTGCCTTGAAACGCATCAGGCCCTTGATACTGGTGCCAGGTAAACATCTGGGAGCAATCAGAAACGCGTGAGTCAGCAGAAACCGACTCCTTAATACACTGTAAAGCCTGTCCAAACTGGGGACAAAGGGGAGGCCTTCTTCTGGGGTCTGAGGAAGTTAAAAAGCAGCACCGGACTTTGGAAAAAAGCTTATTTTTAGAAAGCTATTCCCCCAGCTAATGGATGGTGTCTGCACTTCACGGAAAGCAGAAGAGCTGGTAGCATTTGAAGCCTGGCATGCAGCACTGCCTGCTAAAGCCACATGCAGGCTGACTTCTGGACTTCATTATGTCCTCGCTTCACCTTATTCCTTAGAGCTAGTGATCTTTAACTCTCTCCCTGGTAAAGTACACGAGTAGGTCTCTACTCCTTGGCTATGGAGGACATCTGCAGCTAAAATATCCCAGGACCTGTGGAGCTTTACATGGAACAAGCTGACAAGGCAGGAAAACGCAAGAGTTAGCAGGGGATACCTGCAAAGCATCTAAAACAGTAAAGCAGAAAAGAGTTAACCTGGGATCAGCTTCTAACCTGTGCAAAGAAATCCAGTGTTAAAGGCACGACATACTTAATGCATTAAAAGCCAGGTCACCTATTTAACCAAGATGCACGCATTTTGAGCTTTGAAGAATTGCGTCGGCTTGAAAAGTGGGATGACAAGTTCTCTGACACAGGACACAACGTTGTCTGCACAGAACACACTATGCATTCAGCATCTTCAAGGCCACGAGCCAAAAACATCTGGATCTTCCATTACAATCCACTCCCACAGAACTGAAGTGGGTGAGTTTCTACGCAAAACCACATGGAAAACCCACTGGTAACAGACACAACATGTGGCGACACTGTGAAATTCCTTTTAGACAGGACTTTAGAGCAGAGTTGCATAAACACAGGCTTCCTGGAGCGGAGTAGGTGTGCCCATGGGTAGTCAGCTATTAGAGGCTGCTACAGCATCCCCTGGATATTCTCTATTTGTGCAGAAATCCACTCTTGTACTTGCAAACTCCTCCCATTCATTCAAGATTAATGGTTATTAATCTTGCATTAACCTCTGCAAAGCATACATAAGGGAAGCTCGGACAGTATTGTGCTATTTTATGCCATGCAGGCAACTTTTTGGAGAAGTTACTAAAACTGTGCCTTCTTAATAAAGCCATTTCGTGCACACACCCCCATCCCCTAAAACCACATTTCAGAAGCAGGGACCAAAGCTTACACTTACCTCGCTGAGTACTTCCAAGTCCCCAGGAAATTGCAGCTCCTCCAAGCCTGCTTGTGGAAAATAAATTATATATCTGAAATATTTAAACTAGGAGGAGGGCAAAAAGGATGAAATAAGCCTGAGGAGGTGCGAGATGTGCAAGGTCTCAGCTCAGCAGCTCGTCCCAACTGCAGTCTCACAGAGCTCCCCAGTGGTATTTATGCTCTCCAGGCAAAGAGGACAATCCTGGATCATCCTGTTTGGCAACGGGCCTGGAGTAATAACGAAAGGAAGGGAAAAAAAAAAAAAAAAAAGAGGGGGGGAGAACACCACGAAAAGGAGGCAGGAGCAAAAAGCAGAGGGGTGTCGGATAAGTTTGAAGATAGTCATTGGGGCTCAGCAAATTAGGGCCATCCTCCCAAAGGCGGTAACGCAATACCCAGGGAAGGGGGAGGAGGAGGAGGAGGAGGAGGAGGGAGTGCAAGCGGATGATCATATAAAAAGATTTTGCTTTGCTTTCCCCTGCAGCCAGCTCGCAGCCCGGCCGGCTCCCCGAGCATCCTCCCCGCCGCTGAAGGGGGACCCCGACACCTCGGTGAGGGGCTCTGGTGTTGAGGGAGGGGTCATTCAAGAAAGGAGTTTTTTTTTTTCCCCAGGTTAGCCATTTCCCTTTCCCCCCACAGGAAAACCCCACAGCGGGTCTCGTCGCTCCAGGGCTGAGACAACTCCGCAGGACCCCACGGCAAAATGGGGTCCCCAGGTCTGGCAGCGGGGCCGAGCTGGGGTCCAGCCCCTGACAAACCCCATAGCAGCTCCCTTTTTTTTTTTTTTTTTTTTTTTTCCCCAGGGCTGGCCTTTTGCTGGGAAACAGGGGATTTCTCACCCTCTGCAGTTCGTTCCGGCAGCTTCTGCCAGCACTGACATTCCCAGCACAGAGCTGCGGTTCAGCCCTGCTGCTCCGGCACCTACAGCAGGAATTACAGAGAATGAGGAAAATAAAGTTAGGGAAGCATCAAGGCAAGGCTCACCTCTTGCACTGCACAGCTGATGCCCCAAAAGCCCCAGCTTTCGCATCAAGCTCCGTGCCTGCATCCACTGTCAAAACACGGTTTTACTCCCTGTGAAAGGAAACGATTGAGCAAAAGACAAGCTGAAAGTTCCTTTTTTTTTTTTGAGTAAACAAACAGGAAAAAATAAACCAGTATCATGAATATATTACAGCACCTCTGCGGCAGCGGGATGCTGCGGTGCCAAGCACCCAGAGTGAGCAGGTCCAGGCATCCCACCCATGGGAGTCCCTTGGGGTCCCCATCCAGCTGTGCTGGGGGGTCCCCACATCTGCTGCCACGTACCCAGGGTGACCCAGCCCCAGCCCGGAGGCAGGGGAGCACCCATCTCCCGGATTTGGCATATCCAAAGCAAAGCAGCTATGATTTTTTCCTAATCCACTGTCCAGTCCCCCTCTCTCCAAAGTTCTTGGGAAAAGGGTCCTTCCACTCTTCTAAACAGTCAATATTTATTTCTTTGAGCAAAACACCAACCACTTTTGTTTACTGTTTACAAGAAGGGAGCTTACAAGATATTCTGCCACTGAGCAGCTTGTTTAAAGCCCAGCAGTGCTCAGAAAGCAGAATGACATTTATCAAATTTGTTCAGCAGCGCATGAGCGAAGCAGAAAATAGCAAATATTGGCAGCGGAGAGAACAACTCCATTGAGCAAAGAAAACAACCCCTCTGAAGTCAGCTCCAAGACCTATCTGCTGATTTAATCTCTTACACCATTCTCCTGAGAACTTTTCAAGTAGCAGCAGATTCCAATCACTTGGGGTGTATCTTCAGCACCGCTTCTGGTCTGCATCTTTTAAATTGAATCATAGCCAAGACACGGGGGAACCAGTCCTCACCAGTCAGTCCCTGGTACGGCCACGACACCCTTTCTGGCTGCTCTTCCCCACTGGCCACATTCTCCCAGCTGTATTTACAAAGAGTTTCAAAACAAACTATGTGTGTGAACCAACAACATATGGTCCAGCGTTTGGACCTGGCACTTCTACCCTGCTAAGAGCGATTCAGCGCAATTTGGGCAGCTCGCTCCCAAAAAGGCTCAGATGCTGCCACCAACACAGGCAATTCAAAGACCACACAGAACTGGGCTGACAAGAGGTTCCACACTGCTTTACTTTAAAATCACTGTATCCTCCTTTTTCTTTTTTTTTTTTCCCTTGCTCTTCTGATTCATGCTGGATCAATGACTTTGCTGTATTAGCAGAAGTCTTATTTCATCAGCTGAAAGATGCCGTAGCTCCTGGTTTCCTAATTTCCCCCAAATAACGAGGGCCGACAGTGGTGAACCATCGTGCCCCCACACAGGCTGCCACCCCAAAACCACGCAGCTCTGCAGCCCTGACTCACAGCCCTCAGAAGGTGCTGTTCACTCCAATTACCAGAAAGTTGAATTAACTCATTTTAAATCTCACATACAAATGGTTTCCAGATCTCAGGGAAATTCAGTATTTCATAATCTCCACAAATGTTCCTATGGGAAATTAATCCCTGTAGGATGGTTTGGGCTGTCTGACTTCTCCATCAACTCTGCTGCTTTACAAAGACTAGTTTTTTAAATTTTTTGTTTTTAATATACACCAGTATGGTTTCACTGTACAAGTCAAACACGGTGCACAGTTGTGCTTAGGGATGAGCACAGCCCAGAACGAGACTTTTTACCCACCTCATTTTGTCTCGAGTCAGCAGTTTCAGGTCATACATTTGACCAAAGCCAAAACAATCAGAAGTTACTTTTAATCATTCAGCGTTATTACCGCCTTGATTATAACGTCTCCATTTCATATGTGGTAAAAGCCACATAAAGCAGGCTGCATATATAAGTATATATTAGGAGAGAAGGCTTTTAATGCAATAGCCAATGAATAGGAAGAAACACAGATTTCACTATGCCCTCCTAATGGAACATGCAGACAGTATGTCTTGATTTTCAACTTCAGCTAAATTCCCTTTTATTTCCTATTCAAATAGTAGCTCAGTAATAACAGCACCGAACACGAGCAGGGGCAAAGAACAGGGCGAGAGACTGAAAGCCCGAGTGCCAACTCCTGTTACTAGCTGGTTTCGACTCCTGCTCGGAGTACAAGGGGAATAACGGGGATGAATCAAACCCGGTGGCAAGAGGAAACATGCAGAAACTTGGCTGTAATCACGTACAAGAAAAACATAACGGAGAAGACCAGCAACCCATCAGCTACCCCGATGGACGCCGGGCAGGCAGCGGCACGGCCACGCTCGTGTTTGGGGGAACCATCCTGAGCTTTCCTCTCTGCTTACGTTTCCCCTCCAGTCTGGGCTTTACCTCTACTGGAGGATGATGCGGGGGGGTAGAGGTGGCCAAGAAATCTCTGCTGTGTTTGTCCTGCCCCTCTGTAGGGATGAGATGAAATGCCCCACTCTCTTGACCGTACGGCACGATGCTGCCTTGGAATTATAGGGAGGCTGCTCCAGCAGATGAATTAAGAGCGTGGGGATCCCAAATCACTGGAGCGAAAGCCAGGCATTTATAGACTTACTCCCAAACACAACTAATATTTGGCACTGTGAACCCCTATTTATTCTCTCTTGCTGCTCTCTTCTTTTAGGACAGCTTCCCCAAACGTTTAATCTGATGATGATATGCAAGAAAACAACTCCCCACAAAACTTCCCAAAGCCTGTGCTGGTTCATCAGTGCCCAGGTAAAAATCGAGGTAAGACAAGGAAATAAGCACACAAGCAGCAGCCGTTTCAGAAAATTTTGGGGGCACCACTGACTGCACTAAGTACAAGTGAAATGTGAACTACAAAACACCTCACCTTGTTATTGCAGCTCACCACATTTCCTGGTGACATCTGCAGTGAGAGATGTTGAAACACGCTGTTTTAATACTAAAGTAACGAGTACAGATCCGCAGACTGAAACAGTTAAGAAATATTAACCCAACGCTCATTTTTTGGAGATTTCACTCCCGAAGAGAGAAGGTGAACTGCAATCGCAAGCTCCGTAGCCATTACATCTGGTGATTTGCTAATACAAATTCTTTCCAAACCCCTTTGGGTCATTAGAAATAGCCTGGAATAAAACCCACAGTTGCACGAATCCCCAAACATCTTGGGAACACCCAGTGCATGTCGAAGGCGTACGCTTCATTCCTATTCAAAACAAGAGAGAGATTTATACCAGATTTATGAAGATAAACCCCTTGTCAACAGCCCGGGAGCTCCCTGAAGTCTGGGCAGCAATTTTGGCAGCGGCTTGAGAGCTGGAACGTGTGTGCCACCACTGCCCTCTGCTGCAGCCCGTCCCGCCTCGGGAGTGACAGCATCTCAGGGGGATATTGTGGAAAACAGTACAGTTTCTTAATTAAAAACCACACAATCTCCCCATACCCCCTAAGCACCTTGTGCTTTTGATAATCTTTCATCCCTCACCCCATCAAATCATCCCCCAGGCAGACCTGGCTTGTGGCATAAGATTTTTCTAACAGCCTTTTGGATTCGCACATCCAAAGTTTCTAGTTTTGAAAACTTGAGGTCTTAATGTGCGTTTTTCAAAACCCATTTCTTAAAACCTGGTTTAAACATCAGTAAACAACCACCAGATTGGTGTATTGGGGGGGGGGGGGGGGGGGGGGGG